TGTGACATTTCAGATGAAGTATATGTAATTTGTGGTATTGTTAACCCTGTATAATCCTTAATTATCCGATGGAGAATGTCAGTCTTAGAGTTGTCACATATTTAAAGTAGAAAATAAAAACATTTGGCTTCATGGTAAGTATTTATGACCCTTAATCATTGACAAGAAAACAGCTGATCTGCAAAGTATACCATCTATACATGCCGCCATAAAACATATTCAGTGTTCTAGACAAAACAGACGAGGGAAGGTATCACTCGACTAACGAAAGTGTTATTCTTATAAAGCCTAGTTGGTGAATGATATAGATCACTGCATACAGTACCATGCCAAGAAATCCTCACTCAAAACTCCGGTGGACCTCCTACGGCACCCATTAGTAGATAAAGATTTGATTTCATTCAACAAATTAATTTATGACCTGCATGTACGTGTCGCTTAGAACACGGCAATGTACCAAATGGTCAATATTAATCATCCGTGTAATTTGCTGTATGGGATGTTTGCAAACTTTCAACGGAGGCAATTTCTTGGCATGAACTGGAATACAGATTCATCGGTTTAAACCCCTGTTAGAGAAAGACAATTTGCTAACAAACATTTTCAGATCTTGCGTTGATACGCTAAATTACAGACGTTTAGTCCTGTTTTCTTGCAAGATTTTAATTATTTCCATGTAACGGATACCCCAACTATCCTGAGAAATTTTTTAAAACAGTGTTAATTTATAAATCTTAATCGACACATAGAAGCAAAAATTCGATTCTCCTGCTGGATATAGGCCGTGAAAAGCTTTATCACACTTGAGGTGAATGCTCTTAAATCAGTTTTAATACAGTTGTGGTGTAATTTTACTCTTGATATAATTATCCATGTGTTATTAAAGCGATACGGAACTCACACAAGTTATGGAACCATTACTTATGTGAACTATTTCTCTCTCTTGTTTTTCGGTTTCAGTAACGTTCTTTGAAAAGGTTTTGCCAATTGTCCGACTATTTGCCTTCAGCTGTTGATTGTTATTTAATACATTAATTCCCGCAAAGGTATCTATCAAATATCTGTATGTGCCTCGTACACGGCTGTCATTCGGTATATCGAGAAAAATGATCTTGAAAGAATAAGTAACGGTGTTCAAGTATTGCGATTGGATCGTAAAAGATCTGGTATAGAATCGTGAAGGAAATCTTATCGAGAAAACACATGCAACGTCAGTAAATAAGCTAATTTAATCAATTATAATGACAAATGTTGGAAAAATAAAACTGCCTGTCAAAATGGTTCAACATTATGATCAGTATCCGAAAAAATTAAGACTTAAAAGTAAACAGTTTTTACAAAACTACGAAAGGCAGATTGCTCTTCGAAATTTCAGAGAAATACAAATGTAAACAAACATGTTTTTTTTTAATTATTTTTAAATGCATAAACTACTTTTCTCTTAAAAACTATCGTTGAATATTACTGTTTAAAATAGTTCTTAAAGTTATTTTGATATAGTTTAATCAGAAACTTTGCAAAAACGGTACTGTAATATTTGTAAAAATTGATATTTCGGATCGTGAAAGATCGGGTACCGCATTTTAATGATCGTGAAAAGGATCATGATAGATCTGATGTCGATATATCAAAAGATTTGATTTGCATGACTTATTCCGCTTCACTTTTGTTTGTGAATAGGGCTATGATGGTTCAATGCCATTGGATCTGATTATTTGATAATATCACACCGGCTAGTTTTCTTCTATGTCCGTCCTGCATAAGAATTATTTCGTTTGAAAAGTTAAGATTGTCTCATCTGAATTCCATTAATTTTTATGCACAGTCATATCTGTAAAACGAAGATCCTTGTTGATTTTTGTAAAAATTGGAAAAAAAATGTGTTTAAAAAAACAGAAGGAAAACAACTGCCATATTCCTGACTTGGCACAGGCATTTTCCTAAGAAAATGGTGGTTTAAATCTGTGTTTTTAGCTAGCTAATACGCCCACTTGTATGACAGTTGTTTAATGTTCCGTAATATTGTCAAATTGAGCAAGGAACCCACACAGAAAATAGTTGGTTAACGTGGCTATATCTGAGATCCAGCAGCCAAAATGAGAATACAGTCAGTATAGTAAAGCATAATAACGGAGCCCCTTAAGTGCAAAGTAAATAGAAATATTTCCGTTTGCAGCGAAAATTTAATCTGGTGCGCATCAATTTGAAAAATCGTGCGACTTTTAAACTTGTGCGCCTGACTTTCAAACTGGCGCGGAAGACTTTCAAAATTGGTGCACACGACTATCAAACTCGTGATCATGACTTTCAAAAATGAAAAGGTGCGGGCAACTTTTCAGCTCGTGCGCACGAGCGACTTTCAAACTTGTGCACATGACTTTCAAACTGGCGCGCACGACTTTCAAGCTCGTGCTCACGACTTTCAAAAATGGTGCGTATGAGTTTCAAGAACTCGTGCGCACTAGTTTGAAAGTTGTGAGCACCAGTTTTTGAAAGTTGTGCGCACCAGTTTTCAAATTTCGTCCGCAGGAGTTTCAAAGTCTTGCGCACGATTTTTCAAACTAGTGCGCACCACATTAAATCTCCGGCAAACGAACATATTTCTATTTACTTGGCATGCACTTAAAGGGCTCCTTACATAATGACATATACACTTTCCCGATAAAATACAAAAAAAAGTAAAATATATAAATACAAGGATATACAAAATGAAACAACACTATAAAAACCTCATGTGTCCGAATCGCATCTCTGGATCCACCCACACAAGGAACTCCAAAAGCCAAAAACCTTAAAGCTGGATGCACATATACCGAACCACGTCAAGAGGCATACGATCAAATGTATCATATTAGTACAAAGACAAATAAATGGAAAACTGTGAAGTAGATAAAATACTACACAGAGTCGGCACATAGAATGTATAACTCAAGACCATCCTGTATTATTTGTTAAGTAGACGCTGAATATTATTATGCCCCCGCCATAGCGGAGGGGGCATTAAGTGTTACTCTTGTCTGTCCGTCCCGTCCGTCCCGTCTGTCCGTCCCGTCTGTACATCCCCAAAATTGGTTTCCGTTTTCTAACTTTAGTTTGCCTCAACCTAATGTTATGAAACTTATAAACAATGCTTATTTCCACAAAACACAGATCAAGTTCGAAATTGGGTGGCGTCACTTTTACCGTTCTTGAGTTATGCCCCTTTTTAAATGGAAAATATTCTAAATCTGTCGTTTCCGTTCTCAAACTTTAGTTTGCCTCAACCAAATGTCATGAAACTTATACACTATGCTTATAATCACAAAACGGTCTTAACTACGTGAATCCTGCATCTGTATGTGGAAATTGACTCATGTATATTTACAAGCGGGGGCATATGTGGCCCATAGACACATTCTCCATTTATTTTATTATGTCTTGGTATTTTCCAATGAATTTTTTGAGAAAAAGGACATGTTCTTTCACAAAACCCTAGCTCATTATTTTTTTGCTAAGGCACTGATAACGTTTTAAAAACTTTGAGTAATGCAAGCTCCTGAAAATCGTATGAGTTGAGAAATGTATACTCCATACGCGGATGAAGTTGGTAAATCGCTGCTAAGGTGAGGAAAATTGATAATTTCAAAATTGAATCATCTCGTTTGTCATAGACTTTGGTATTGAGATGACCGCTGTAGTCAAATTCGGGATATATGTCTAAAAAATGCAGCCGAGGAAGCTGTATATATGTTGTCTGTATTCTCTAGTTCATGACTATAAATGGGACCCAATTAGAAAAGTTTGTATTGTTAATGGAAAGAACATCTTCAATACACCTGTATGTAAAATGAAATATTATAGCTTCCTTGATCTAACCCATACAAAAGCAAAAATGTACACTTTAAGACATTTCATGGGGAAGACCACCAGACCCCCTCTCGCTTCACTTCTTTGTGGATGCATTACGCATTATATATACAAAGATATTCACTTTTCGACAACTTACACTCCTGAGGTACTTATTATCTTGGATGCCTAGTTACATGTAGCATTGCATCTTAAATGAAAACATGCAGGTCTAAATGTGGGTAAATATATATTTACCCACATTTATATATATATATATATATTTATATATATATCACCAAAACAAATTAAAGCATTAATTTACGTTCTAAGTAAGTAATTACACGCTTCAACCAATTACAAGTATATCAATTTTTGGTAAAATAAATGCTGTTTTCTGATCATTAAGTCTGGTCACGCCTCGCTTTCACGATCAAAATAATGATAGACATGAACTAACGACAACAACTAACATAAAAACAATAGACACAAATCATCGAAATAATAGGTCTCTCAGTAACTGAAAGCTAGGTCAAAGCCAATTACAACCAACAAATAAATCATGTTCTCCAGACTAAAGTATCAATCAGTACACATCCAACGGATTTAGTGTAAAGACGTCATAAAAGGTCTGAGAAAAGCATGACCTTGTGCAATGCCAAAATATAAGTAAACAGCATCGACAGGATGTATGATTGTGAATGTTTTAATTTTAAATGTGTAGTAACGAAATCCCTGACTTAATAATTGATCTGTTATACATACATTACGTGCATTCAAATCTAAAACGAGACTACAGACACGAGCATAGAGAATTTGATGTGAAATATACACACAGTAAGAAGGTGTTAAAGGAACATCTCCTTCAAAAAAGGGGAAATTAACAATCATTATTGTCTCTTTTGTCGTAACATCTCCGTCAAAAAAGGGAAAATTAACAATCAATATTGTCTCTATTGACTTATTTTTCGTATAAAGTTTTCCCGTGCATGTGAAACTGAAATATCCAAAATGTAGAAAAAGGACAATTATTTGTGTATGGATATGATTTAATAGATGGAGATTAATGGCTAAAAAATAAGAATAAACAAAATAAACAAAATATTAAATAATTAAAACATAATGTATGCTAAAATAGAAAGAACAGAAAAAACAAATAAAAAACATATAACAAATAGAGAAAATGACATTTAATAGAATAAACAGAATTTAGACCATCTTATCCAGTCTCTGATTCATTGACTTGGAAGAATGAAATGAACCTATATTATTCATTAATTTCTTAATCCGTTTTGTTAACATGGTGTCCTATCGCTATCTTATTTAAATTTCGTTGACTATAATATCTCCGTTGGTACAATTTGTAAACTTGTGTTTCCTATCTTTATTACTTTGCTTGATGCTTCTTTCAAGAAAGTGCTTGATGTAACGGTACTAATTGGTACTGTTGAAATGATGTCTTCAAAGGTATGACTTTGTTCACTCTGTCAAAGTTACCTAGAGGTATCTTCAATATGCCTAAACCGTCCTCCTTTCCTTGTTGATGACACTTTTCACTGAATTCGACTTATCATCGGATATTCCCATGTCGTGACAATCGAGAGGAGTGCAACTTATGGCGCAGGAAGTGCTTACCCTTCCGAAGCCCCTAATTAAAATCTTGGATATAAGAAGTGTCATTGGTTCTCAATTTACTTAAAATGTTTTGTGAACTTTTGGTTTTCTTCCTCCTGTATTTTTTATGTTTTTGCTCACCCTGCTGTCTTCTTAATTTTTGCGTTTTTATATATATTGAACTTTCTGTTGTGAAACTAGACAAAATGGCGGCTACCAACCCTGCTATAATGTTTTGTTCATTTCATTTTGCATAGTGGATCGTTTTATAATGTAGATATATTTTATTTTTTATGGAATAATCAAGAAATAAGGTCCAACTACTTATTGTTTAACTGAACGAGTGAAAATGTTCATAAACTGATAATTTAGTTTGAATCTAAGTTTATCTCAGTTTCGTCTATCTCAAGTCGGTTGTAATTTTCTTTAAGAAACACTAAGACAGGTATACAGGCTGCAATAGCTCCTAACAGGCACCAGTTCTCCCATCTTGTCCCTGTAAAGGATACCTTTTATTTTGTGCTGAACATTCTTTTCGGAAAGTTTAGGCAATCTAAATACAATTTGTCATTTTATTTAAATGTCTTTGTAAATGTGTTTTATATATATATTTCCAAGTCGATATATCTTATCAAATGTTTATGCTTAATCAGAATGGTGTATCTTGGTAATAAAGCAATGCCATCATCGATGTTAATTTCATCACAGATATACCAGCTGGTTTCAAATTTTGGACTTCAGATGCGCGTCTCGTCTACAAAAGACCCATCAAAGACGCTCGAATAAAAAAAACGTTAAATTGCAAAATAAAGTAAAAAATTGAAGAGCATTGAGGACCCAAAATTCCAAAAGGCTTTGCCAAATACAGCTAAGGTAATCTATTCATCTGGAAAGGCCTTGGTGTAATCCCTTAATGTGATAGTATGTACAGGTCAGTTTTTCTTGAGTTCTATACTTGAGGGTCTGGATGGGGTCTACAGAATAGAGAATAATGGACAAAATGTGCAGAATAAAGAGCTGAAAATATAAAGATTAAAGAAAAATAGGGCAAAAAAAAAGAATAGAGAATAATAGGGTGCTAAAATATAAAGAATACAGAGTAACAGGCAACATTTTTAAAGAATAGAGAAAGATGGCCTAAAAAATAAATACAGAAATGAAGGGACACCTATCCACACCCTCTATACTTTATAATTTTTGAGATGTAAAATTTGTCATCATTTGAGTGCACAGGTAAAATAATAACTTCAGTTTCTTACCAATATGTGGCACCATCTGTACACCTAAGAATATTAAGCCTCCTATATTGTTAACTAATGTTAATACTAAATTAGTAATGCCCTCTGCTACAGGATAGGTTGCCTCGCAGGCCATCTCAAAATACAGAGGCGACGTGGATCCAAGAAACATGGATAGCAATATGATAGACATGTACAACTGCACTGAGAATTAAATGATAAATAGTGTCAAGAGTTAACTTAATAGTTGTATAAAGTAATATAATGGATTATACAGACGGAAGTATAGCAGAGCGGAAAGAGAGACCATACAAAACACAATATTTTTTGTACATCTATAACAGTGGTCAATTTTATACTGTCCTATAAGATACGTTCCCTGTCATTATTTCTACTGTAGTACAGTAGTTGTATTTCTAAATATGATTTAATATTTATCGGACTTGTGGGAAAAAACGTGTAATTCTATAAGAAAGTATATCAACTAGCATATAGTTTGGAACCTAATTTTAATTTTACACTCTCGGGTCCCATTGTCATTTTTTCATGATTATTTTTGGTAGATAATACCGCTAATGCTATATTCTTGCCGCAAACAGTCTTAACTGTGTACTGAGTTATTGAGCGATACTAAATTCTTCAATCTGGTACTCAATCAGAATGCTCAAATCTATTATACAAACAGCTTTCTAGCTAAATTTCATCTGTGAAAATAAATTTCTTTTTTGTTTTGTTTTGTTTTTTCTTTTTATTTTACCTGTAGATGAATGGATGGTTCCCAAAAGAAGGAATGTAAACCAGACTAGACTACCACATCCACCAATATATAAGACTAGTAGGAATAAGCGCATATGCTTTGCAAAGATGTCTGCAAATCTACAAAGTGTATTTCAAATATGATATTCTAAAAGGATCACACAGAACGTAGGCAAAGTAAGTGACAATAAATCCAAAGAAATAGTTAGAGCTATAGTCAAGAGAACCGAAAACTACAGTTCTATAAACACTAAAAAGCGTGTACTCTTCAACAAGCTTAATATTGTACTAGATAGTGGCCGGTATATATAATCATCATTGACATTTTTTTCTTTCACAAAAACAAGCCTACTGTCTCAACAAGAGACCAATTTTGACATAACAGAAAAATATCAAAGGTCTTTATAAAGTCAAGCCTTTGTTATGACATACTTAATCCCTTTGACTTATATAAGATAGAAAAGAAAAACTTGGCTATTCATAGATGTCATATACCGTACATGCATCTTAGAGTTATATAATAAATGAATCAGTTCATATGGATTCTATAACTGCTTCTTCAAAATATCAACTGAAACCAGGTCAGAGATAAACTTACTTAGCTACAGCCAGTGTCACAATGCATCCTGCTACTAATGAATAAAATCCCAGCCATCCTGCTTCATCCTAACAATATATATAATGAAAAATTATTAATATAACCTAGAATGTAAATTTCAAAAGCATGCGTAGTAGGAAACCTTTGTCTATTTGATCAAAACATATTCACAAAAATACCGAAAAAAGGGGGTCAATAAAATCTGGAAAGATCAAACGCTTGACTAAATCAACCAACGAAACGAATGGAAGACAACTGTAATATTCCTGAAATCACTTACAGTTACTCTGAGACCAAATAGTGCTATTCCTGAAATCACTTACAGTTACTCTGATACCAAATAGTGCTTTGTGTAAGAGATTATTTTGTGTTATATCAGATACAGCAGAATATATTTTGATTTTCAAATAGCTGTTTAAATGTGTTGGTCGAGACCATTAGATAACCAATTATGTAACATTGATGTTTTCAACCTATTGTATTGCCAAACTATTAGACGGAATATTTTGAAAATGTGGCACCTAAAAGGAGTCTTGCGAATAATATTTTTTTCCGATATCTTTTTATTTTCGTTTTTTGGCAACCTATTATTTTACAAGATTAATTTGGGTATATGGAAATATTTATACTATGCATACATATTTTTATAACAATTCTATTATAATGAAAAGGAATGTATGTAAGGTGATACCTGTTCATATATATATATATATATATAGATAGCAAATTTGTTTCTTCTATCGGCGGGATTTGAATCTATGCTTCTGTTACATTGTGGCCTGCAGTATAGACAGCAACCTCGAGCACTCGGCCAACGAGGCTAATAAAGCTATACTACTCATCAACACTATTAGTATTTGATATACTTTTCCGTCAATGATTAAATACCTCAGATATTCCATGAGGCTTAAGTATGACATCAAGGACACTCTGCCAGGAGTTGTAAACTCCTAATGACACACCATACGTTAGACAGATCATCCAAAACTTCACGTTTCTGTTAATAAAAATTCAGTAAACGGATTTAAAACTAGAGACGATAAATATCTACATTAATTGTCTATGTTTCTTTCAGCAGAATTAGCAGAAATCCAAATCCAAATATATGATAAAGGATGAAAAGAATTATGACATTTTCACGGCATAAGGGTGCTCTTTTATGTACCCTACTCAGGTGACAGAAATAAATTATGGAATGACATTGGATGTACGAGTTCAATATATTGTTTTGAATTATTTGTGAACAGATGCAGTAAATCTATGTTAAGAAAGATGAAACAATACGGTTGCTACGGAAAATACTATGATAGTTTCTGCATGGTGAATATCTAAATCCAGAAAAGCGCTACTAACAGACTAAGTTAACGAAGAGTTATTTTCATATAATTTAGACGAGCTCAACAAATGATAGATATGACGTATATATTGTAAAGAACTTATATTTAATTCTTTTTCGGAATTTTTGTTTTTCAATGTTCTTTTGATTAATCATTTGGCCTCCTAACTGTTTTGATTCGAGCGCAACTGATGAGTCTTATATAGACGAATCACGAGTCTGGCGTTCAAAATCATATGGATCGATGCCGCTGCTGGTGGACAATATCACCATCCGAGTAATCAGCACTTCTGTGCTGACATGGCATATCTTTAATTAATTCATTTTCTGTAAATTTACTGTTTATAAAATTTTGAATTATTCGAAATACTAACTTAAAGGTATTTCAACCCTAGATATTGATAGCTTTAGTTGTATTTAGTAACTTTTCGGAACCTGTGGTTTTCAAAGCTTTTCAATTTTGTATTTGATAAGGCCTTCTAACTGTTTTGGTCGGAGTGCCACGAATGTGTCTTATGTAGTCATGACGCGCGTCTGGCGTACCAAATTATATATATGGTAGCGCTTTGGTCAGTTTTTTATTATAAAAAGAAGCAAGGTCATAAACAGTGAGTAGTATCGCCTATATTGGCACAAATACTACTTATATATTAAGACTGTAGTTATAGATAACATGACATATCTAATGGTTTTACCTCATTAATTGTTTTACCCCTTCTCCAAAATCTACCCTCTCCACAGAAGCTGATACAGTTGGTGGAAGTTTGGGTTTATCTGGGAAGTATATAATCACAAGCAGCAAAGCTAACACGCACATGCCACATTCTGTTCAACAAAACGAATATTTAAACACAATCAGCCTTAACAGCAGCATATTTCAAATCAACAAGAAAGTAATATAAAAAACGTTTGATATTGATGAAATGAGGGATACAGCAGATACAATTAGGTCTGATCCATATCTTGACTTACATAAAGAAATCGGTGGTGAAGTACTTTCATGTAGTTGGGTCATTATAAAAAAAAAACATGCAAATATATGTTATTTGGTCTTTTTAAGTCACAGACATGACAATATATCAAAATAACACTTGTATATGTTAGATATGAATGTTTTGTGATACATTATATACAGTTTACAGTATGAAATGTTATAAAAACATCCTTAATGTTTTCTGAAACCCTTGGATATAGCCAGAATAAACTGTTATTTTTTTTCTATATTACCTTTCAGACATGAAATAGGACTATTATTCATATTCTTTGTTATTAGGATTTATCACTATTTATTGCATTTTGATATATACAAACATTTTTTAATGATTTGGAAAGTGTATCATTTTTTTTAAGTCAGTGGTGTAACCCAAAGACAAATTGGTTGGGTAAGAGTTATCTTTCTCAAGATTTCAGCATTTACAATAGTTTCTCCCCTAGCAATGTTACCTGTAAGCATGTAATTCAGACGACACAAAAAATCTATGTTGGAAATTATTGAAAAAATCTTAAAACTGAGTAAGTAAAAACTACATCGTAAATAAAATTAGTGCCCATAGTGCACCTTTATAAAAATCATTTTCCGAAAGATTTCCGAAACTTTGATTTATGAAAAGATATTGATTGTAGAAACATGCACCAGGAACAACATATAAAATAGGGGAATGCATGGAGCACTTAGTTCAACTAAATCTAAAAATACACTTGTACGTCATTGGTGTTACTGTCAATGGTGAGACCACTTTAATAAAGTAACACCATTGATCAGTTTAGTAACAACAATGAATATATTATGACAATCAGCAATTTTTTGTGTTTTTTCATGTTTAACAACCGAAACATCATATTACTTATGAAATATAATACTTATTTAACAATGTTTTAACAATATAATGTATTACCTATACCAAGTTTTCACAAACTGGTGTATGCTGGTAACACCAAGGACACCATTTAGTAACACTATTGACATTTTTAGTTATTGATGTTATGATATTTAACTCGGGATTTTTTAGCCTAAGAATTACTTTTTTTTTTTTCTTTTGCTTAGTGTTCTTTAATTGTTTTGTGTTCAGTACTTAATAAAAGTAAAATTAGAACTTTGTTGTCAATGGTGATACTTTTGTGTAATTGTAGTAACTGATGGGTCAGTGGTGTTACTATATAAAAATGCAATAATTTTTATTTTCTATTAACAAATAATTTAATTTTGGATGTAACACGTCTTCTGATTGGCTGAAAGTGTTTTGTCTATCAGCTCATAGACATAATTTTGTCATGTGACCGTGACGTCACCAACGGTTTTTTTTAAATTTACTCCTTAAAAATGGAATTTAGAATTAAATTATAAGGAATGACTGTAATATTTTTTCTGTCTATTCGAAATAACCTAAAAAATGTGGTGCACACTTTTAAGTAACCCGCTACGCGGGTTATTCAGTGTGCACCACATTTTTTATGTTATTTCTTCATAGACAGAAAAAATATTACAGTCATTCCTTAAATGAAAGTTTATTTAGGCTGTATACGAAGGATTAGGCATTATCTAATCATTCAGTCTTACACATTTAACATATATTCAGTTTTAGTGTATACTTTAGTATAAACAACAGCCATAATTAGGACAGCTATGTTTTTTACAACAATTTATTCTGAAATTTATGTTCAAATAGAATGCATACCTATAAAATAATGTCAATAAGTAGTAATTTAACCCTTAACAACAAATTGGAATAGTTAATTGGTATTTACAAATATTTTTTAATAAATAAATGCATGTTTTTATTGGTAACACCATTGACATGATTCTATCAAAGGATGACCAAAAATTGTTAAAATTGAAGGAACTCCTAATTTTCCCCATTGCATATTTCTGAATATAGTTGCTACCATATTTCAAAATAGCAGGACATATTTTAATTTTTAAAACAATGACATCAGTTTCCCGAAATTTCCCTCATCGAAATATGCATGTTTTTTTATAATGATCCAGCTACTAATTTAAAGTTCATTCTGAATGGTAAACGGTCGCCATCTTAACTTCTTTTTTTTACCGTGAGCAATTCCTAAAATTTGTCGCACTCACAATTCTGTTAAAGATTGAATATGTACGTTTCCATGTAGGAGCGCACAATAACAAAAGTATATGTATTTTTTTAAGTTTACCTTTAAATCTATCAGTACTCACCCCAATACATAAGTTTCATTATTTCTTGTCGCTCATCAAGTACTCTTGATCCTGTAAAACAAAGCTGGCTTTAGCAGATCATCCAGCCAGGCTTTTTATATATGTAAGTGGATTATCCTAGATTGCTTCAAGTATCATAATAATATACATTTTCAGACCACATATACAGACAAACTAAACCCACTATTGAAAGACAAAATAAACTGAAAATTAACAGACAAACTAAACCAAAAATTTAAAACAAACAAACTACGTAATAAAAAAGAAAAACATATTCTGTTTTATTTCAAATAAAATTCGTATAAACACATTAGATTTATGAAATTACAAGATTTTGAAATCATTCAAAAAAACATTTTTTTTTCTCTCTTATAACTAATTTTATGTAGCCTGTGCTAATATATAAATAACACATAGCTGAGAGGGTGATAGAGCAGATTGTTACCCCGAGAAAACATTGTCAACTGAGGCGAAGCCAAGGTTGACAATGTCTTTTCGAGGGGTAACAATCTGCTCTATCACCCTCTCAGCTATGTGTTATTTAATTTATTATACTGAATGTTCTGTTATTACTGTCGATTAAATTTCAAACTATGACGTCTTGTACATAACAACCATCCGTATTTAATAAAGCGCACACTTGATCAAGCATCTCCGTGAAGGGTAATAGAGTAAATTAACACCCTCGTATAAGCCAATCAAAATATTGCATTTTTACGTGAAGTATAATAATAACTAATGTTATTTAGCCTGTGATGATAACTAATGTTATGTAGCATGTGATAATAACTAATGTTAGTTAGCCTGTGATAATAACTAATGTTATGTTGCGTGTGATAATAATTAATGTTCTTTAGCCTGTGATAATAACTTATGTTATGTAGCCTGTGATAATAACTAATGTTATTTAGTCTGTGATAATAACTAACCATTCGTGATGCTTACGTTGTAAAAAGAACTGTAATTCTTGATATTGCTGAAAGGTAAAATAGCAAATGCATTCATGCCCTAAGTGATCAGAATAAACCAGAGGTATTGTGAGATGCGCTAACAAAATGATACCCCGCCCCTTCCAAAGACCTAAAATAATTCGGACCAAAACAAAATAGGAGGTTCACAATAGCCTTATACGGTTAATATGTTGAGATTACTTCTTTACATTACAGGGAGGGGTTTAGGAGGAGAAACGGACACAAATATGAACAATGCTGTGCGGATATGACGATGCCAGTGTCCATATCGATTCAAAGTAAACACCAAAAATTATTCAGATGAAGAAATGATATAGGAGTACGATTCTGTTAAAGTTTGACTAAAATCTGTCAAGTGGTTCAAGAACAGAAATTTGTTGGTACAAAGGTGGGACAGAAGGACGAACGAACGAACTCCCTCCATCAGTATAGAATGTCTGCTTTAGAAAGCAGGGTATAATAATGTTCTGATATAACCAGCAGTCATATAGGACTTTTACTTTCTTACTAATCAATGGAAGAAATGCACTTTGAAAATCAAATTATTAAGAACGGATTTAGGCATGCAAAAACGTCACTTTTTGTTCGATGAATGCGTTACATACATTCACGCCTTCATTTTATAAAGAAAGAAAGAAATGTTAAATCTCATCATCCGTTGATAGACAAATCAAATGGTTAGTTAAGTATAAGTTGGCTCTTACATTATTTTACAATTCCTAATGTATGTATAAGTTCTACTGAGGTAGATGCAACCACTGTAAGAACAAGAATCTTCTTATATAATAGTAAAGGAAGGATATGGTGTATCAATTCATGGCACGAAATCACTACGCGCACATGAAAAAAGACAAAAATAAAGGTACAGCGCTTTTATAATTTCTTAGTGATTGAGTCCAAGTAAATAGGTTGTTTCGTCAATAGTTATGGTAAATGTATTATACATGTAACTAATCATCGGGAACATGAATAATTGTTGCAAGGGTTCCAAATGCGTTTTGCCGATGAAGGAAATTCCTAAACTTTGAATCAAATATAAACACATTTTAATTTGGTCGAAGACCAAAATCAATAGTGAGCTGCAAACACAATTAAAGCAATTAAAAAAACAAAGCAGGAATGTTAGAAAAATTATGTAATAGATTTACCTTGCATTATAAGCTGTAGCATTATTAGTGTCTTGTTTGTCAGGCACGAAGTATGGTCCTATAAATAAATATATATCACCAATATGGAAAATACCGAACCTTATTCTAAGATAAAATATGGATCATTTGATGAATTTTTCTTATATTTCTACGAATTAAACCGTAAAAGTTTATAGAATTATTTAATTTCATGTTCTATTCTGGAGAGGTAACATCTTGTGTTTCTTATTTCATTCTAAAGCGATAAAATCTTTACATTAGGATAGAGCTTTTTCTGTGAATTATGTTGTCTAATCATGACATGTCTGCTTACCTATTATAAACGATATACCGACTCCAAGACTGTTCAATATGGCGCTGATGGCTGTGGATGTTGTTCTTTCATTCACAGGAAACCAGCGAGCAGAGAGTGCAGGTGGAACTCCCATGGCAACGGGACCAGCTAAACCATTCAGCAGCTGTCCAATATTAACTGTCCTTAAACCAGCAAAATTTGCGATATTCTATGAAAATTGTTACCAACAGTAATTTGCTCT